ATGAAATCCACTGAAATATACTGCTACAACACCCTAAGGAACCTAAAATTTCAAAATTGTTATTTTGAAGTAGTGACTCAACTTATTGGCTACTCCGGACTTGTAAAAATATGTGAAATGGTTAATTTTAAGTTATTTAAATTTTTAATTAATTTATTATTAATCTAAAATAGTTATTTAACAAATCTAAACAAAGCAATTTATTCAGTCTACACAGTATATAGCAAAACAAGTCAATTTAAGATATAGATATAAGGTGATGTCCAAAAAAAATTGAATTGAAGTATAAAACTAAACGTTAAAATGAAAATCTAAAAGCACAACCAGTGAAAACCACAACAACCCCAGATCAAAACCAAAAGTTTAAGGAGATATATATTTTTTTTAAAGGAAGAAGTGGAAAAGAAGCCACACGTTGGGTCTAGCCAATTGAAACATATAAAATATGTGAATTGACAAAGTTCAGAAGAACTGAAAGAGAAGGAAGGAAAATATTAAAAATATGGCTCAGCTCAGAGGAACAAAGTTAAACGGCCAAAGAGACACTAAATCTCAAGTGAGTGTTCGGGCTAGCTTCGATGCACTGGATTGCGGCTTTAAAGATACAACAGATAACAAGGATAATGAGCTAATGAGACAAGAAACGAAATGAGACCTGACAATGTCAAACGTGATATAACTAAAGAAGGTCACTGGGAATAAATTTATAGAAAGAGAACACTAAGAAGAGAAAAGAAGGGCGCCAACTCAACGATAGTTGAGATTTTGAAGTAACAAATAAATCTGGAGATAGTAACCTGAAATACAAAAAAAAACTAAATAATAATCTTATTTTGCTATGTTATATACTGGTTAGTAGAACTGAAATAAAACTCAAAATAGTAACAACAAATATATTTATAAAAAGAATGTATATAGATACATGTGTATAACCAATTTACATATAATGCAAAGCTAAATATACAGTGGTAGTGGGTATAAAGATAAAATGGGACCTAATAGCCCCTCCACAAGCAAATAGTCACTACCACTGGCCAAATAAAATGTAAATATTAGTATTAACAAGAATAGTCCGTTAGGGTAGCCGAAGTCTTAACACTAAGGTTAGTAATCTAAATTTAAATAGTTCTACTAAACTGATAAACTAATCAACGTATTGTACAGGTATCAACAGTGATAACTCTGTTACAATTATCTTAAAAGTGAGTTTTCAATACTCCTTATCTATTTATTTTAAAGTCCACATAAAATTTATTTCCCTCCCCAAAATATTTTAATATTATTACATCAAAGTATGTATTGTATTATAACATGAAATCCAAGAAAATGAGTTATGGTCAGACTCACTAAATTCTTTAGTTAACCTAATAATCTATAAAAATGTCCTTTTTCCTCCCCGAATATTTTATATTAATTAAATTATCAAAGATATTAACCACTCATATGCATATGAATAGCTCACAGTGAATTAAATATACAATAGCAAATGGTCACAACAACTTATCTTTAATAACAATAGGTCCCTCCAAACTCAGCTGGGCACATCAAAACTAGTTCATCATGGTGACAAGTCCCATATTTTGGGGTTACTGCAAAATCACGGATTCACATAAGCAACCTGCTAACCATACTTTGAAGTGTATATATATATATTTTATATTGAATATTTAAGTGACGGAATCTAAAAGGATTAATTAGTTTAATAAATGTGATTCAATAGCTGTAGCAGCATGGATTCAACTTTACCAAAGCACAACATTAAACATTAGGTTAGGTCAACATCATGTCAAAATTCATGAAGTTATTTCCATGGTATGACAGGAAATGAACATGCGCAAAAATATAGAAGGCTGTCCAATAATTGTAGGACCTATTATATTTTCACCAAAAAAAGTTAAATACAAATTGAACCAAAAAAACTTAATGATAACGACGTGGACTAAAACAGAATTTAAGTTTGACTATATAAAAAAAATGACCTTCTGTTCTTGGCAAGTAAATCAAGGAAATTTTATATTTAAATTATTTCGGAACTTAAAAATAAATCTCTAGGAAATACTACACTGCAATGACTGCCATGAATTTTAGTGGATGATAAAGAGGTAATAAGTATGAAATAATATACTTACTGGAGAACGTGACACGCCAAAAAAATCTTCCTTTTTTAATTGGAACTCTTAAATCATTTTGCTTTTTTTTAAATTAATTATTTTTATACATTTACTGAGATATTATTATTACTTAATTGAATATTATTTTATTCTTCCTAGATTATTTTTATTTGTTCCAATTCCGTCACTTGGATTGACTGGCGTATTATCACGTCTGAGTTTTGACCATAACTGCCGGCACCTTTGCAAAATCCATCGGTCCCCACTTTCAAAGCCACTCCAGCGCGTGAGTAGAGAAAGGTCGATGTAAAATCGAACGCTGGCGGGTCAAAAGAAATTTCTTGAGGGGTTTAGTGACCACGATTTTAAATTGGACACTTGATTAATCAGTAGCGTAAACGCTACAGTGTTCCATTCTACGTACAACATCCTGTAGAACCTTCTGTAACGGTTCCTTCAAAACACGATACTATCCAATGGTCGCTCGATCCTCCTTATCAACGCGGTCGTTTTTCTACGGCCATGTTATAATAAATGCTCCAGGAGTTACAAGGTACGCATGTGCACGAATTTTCGATATTAAAAATTCATTTGACGCACTCTTTTCTGACATAGTTGCAAACCAAATTATAAATATGACCAACATGGAAGGACAGCGTGTTTTTGGAAACAACTGGAAAGACTTAGATAAAATTGGTTTTCAAGCATACATTGGTCTGTTATTGTTAGCTGGAGTTTTTAAGTCCCATGGTGAATCAACTAAAAGTTTGTGGAATGAAGAAACGGGTCGTAGTATATTTCGAGCAACAATATCCCTTGAAGTATTTACAAAAATTTCGCAAGTAATTCGTTTTGATAACAAGACTACTAGACAGGATAGGAGACGTACTGATAAACTTGCTGCAATACGTGAAATTTGGGAAAAATGGGTTGAAAATCTACCAAAATTTTTTAACCTGATGAAAATGTTACCGTCGACGAGCAATTAGTTGCCTTTAGAGGCCGCTGTCCATTCAAACAGTACATTCCAAGCAAGCCAGCGAAATATGGCATAAAAATTTGGGCCTTATGTGACAGTAAAAGTTCTTATGCTCTAAAATTGCAGATCTATACAGGAAAGGAAGCAGGTGCCGCGCCAGAACGAAATCAGGGAATGCGTGTGGTGTGCGACTTGAGTAGTGATTTGAAAGGCCACAATATTACATGTGATAACTTTTTTACATCGTACAATTTAGGACAACTTCTTCTAAAAAGAAAAAATACAATGCTGGGGACTATAAGAAAAAATAAACGAGAGCTTCCAGCACAAATTGCGAATAAAGAAGTTCATAGTTCGTCTTTTTACTTCACACAAGATACCACTGTTGTTAACTATATTCCTAAAAAGAATAAAAATGTTATTCTTATGAGTACTTTGCATCATGAAAAGGCTATTAGTGACAGAAATGACAAGAAGCCCCAAATTATTTTAGATTACAATTCCAGTAAGGGGGCAGTGGATACTCTAGATCAGCTTGTTGGTACATATACATGTAAGAGGAAGACAAATCGCTGGCCCATGATTGTTTTTTACAATATGCTGGACATTTCTGCCTACAACGCGTTCGTTTTATGGACATCGATAAATCCCAATGGAATACCAATAAACTTACAAAACGACGAATTTTTCTTGAGGAGTTGGGAAAACACTGGTGAAACCACTTATCCTTTCCAGGAAAAATTTACCGAGAACTAAAGACTCACAAGAACTGGTAAAAAGAACACGAGCAGAAGCGAGTAGAGAAGATGGAAATTCTAATGAACCGTCTATGGACCATCCAACTCCGCCTGCTAAACGAGCACGCTGTAAATTTTGCTCTAAAAGGGATAACAAGACTAATATTTTATGTTGTATATGTCATAAACATATTTGTAAAACCCATTCTTTCTATTACTGTCCCAGTTGTAAACTGAATTAAATTTTGTAGATATTTGTTCTTAGGGTTTTCTGGGAAAGAAAAAATGCTTTTTATTTTTGTTAATAAGGTTTAATTTACAGTAACAATATAATTATTGTTTAATTAACTATAATTTTTTATTAATACAGTTTTGTTTAGCACCATTAGCTTATTTTATTTCTATTAGGGAGCGTAAATCATAGTTGGGTCATATTGACCCGAACAGTACATTTGTGTAGTTTACTCGAACGGTACAGCAGGGTTAATAGAATATAAATGAAAAAATTTAAAAAGAGCTTAAATATTATTCTTTTAACAAACATTAACATAAAGTCACCTAACAGCTTATACCAAACGTAGAATTGGCAACCGACGGTGAGCATGGTCACGTAACCAATGATCATCTTAAAAGGGGACGTTCTTATTATGGCTCCTCTACATATCGGCAGACGCCCCGCGGGCGACATCTACGTATGCATCTGGAGATGTACAGATGGGCTAATTTGATCATCTGTTGTTTATATATCACGTCCGCGGATGCGTCTGCAAGATATCCGATTGTTTTAGCACAGATCAAAGGGTTACGGTGCAGACGTATGACGCCTTTCCATTTTTTAATGCTCGCGTAGATATTGCATCTCCAGGAATTAACACAGACTGAACGATTATAGATATGTCCAGATGTGTGGTCAGCTTGTGCTGATACATCTGCATATGCATCCGCAGAGGCGTCTGCCGATGTGTCACTGCCGAGGTATTATACTGTTCTAGAGATCTAAAATCTTTCCACTCTAAATTGCCTCAATATATACGGTTTCTAAACAGTCTATAAAAAAGAGGTAAAGTAACTTATTTGTTTGCTTAATTAACGTGAATTTGTATAATATAGCAGGTATTTTCATAGATTCATCTTCATGTAAAATATATAATAGCATGCGCTGGATTTACTTACCGTTATCAATGCTTTTCTATCATCAGTAAAAGAAGAAGTATATAATGCTTTTAACTGTTTACCAACATTTTCTCTGTCTTCTTCAGCTACATTAAGGGATCGTGATACAACATTTGCTGGATTTTCATCAAGTAATATGGCCCTTTCTTGTATAGTTTGTTCTCCAATTTCTGAAAAAAGATTATATTTTAATTTTGATTTTTTAAATGATAAAAAGTTTGCTAATGTGAGCACATATTCATGAATGTTAGGGACTAGGACCTTATACTCACAATCCGTGTTAAGTTGTTGTAGATGTTTATTAAGAGAAAGATTGGGAGACCGGTTTCACTGTTTACAATTTATACAGCATCATCAGACCCTCAAGAAACTAAAGGCTGAAATAAATGTAATATGTAAGCCAATACGCATTTAATACGTCAATACGTTTTAGGTAGGTGGGTGTACAATAGACGACTATATAAAGAAGCTATAGGAAAAACAAAGCTATTGTTTGATCGCATGAAAGCACAATCGTGCTAGGTCAATGAGAAAGAAATAGAGACTTCCACTGGTCGGACAAAGATATTGAAAAATGCATGCCAGTAAAAAACAAAATATGGAATAGAAACTTCGCAAACATAAACACCTGTCTAGCAGGAAAAGAAAATACTGAAATAGACAAGACAAGTCATATAATAATTTTAAGTTTTAAAAACCATATACGAAAAGAGAGCAAAAATATTGGAAACTATAGAAAAGTTACATTAAAAAAATGTATATAGTAAAAAATATTTTTGATAATAAGGACAGGAACTTATACTTACGTCCTAGAAAAGCCAAAGATTCTTCAGAATTGAAGCCGATAAGAACAGGTACTAAATTAAAATGACCGTCCAATAAAGCCGCATGCATTGGTTCGGTAACAAAGGCATCTTCGTTGTCATCCTCGATAACAGGTTTAAAAGTGAAGGCACTCATGAAACCAGCTGTTGCTCCAGAAGTGAACTATTTTCAGATAAATTTTTTATATTAGATATATAGTGGTGTAATTTGGAATAGCTTTTATTCTATATTATTAAACCAAATTATCTATATTGTTGACAGAATTTCGAAACTAAGGGATTTTGGTAATAAAATGGAAAAGATGTCCAAGTTGTCTGTCTCCCATCCTTCGCGTCTTTAGGTATAAGGGGGATAGAGGAATGTCCCGGGACCGACGAAGATGGGTAAGTGGGAAGTAAAATTCCACCTGCGAACCAAAACAGACTAGGATATAGCAACCTAAACAGAAATGTGTAGATTTGGTGTTGAGTTAAAGGCCAATAATCTCTTCTCGTAAAAAGTAATATGTTACGGAACCTCAGGAACTCTTAACCGGACAAAAATTACGATGACGATTATGCAAACGAAAAATGGGGAATACCCGAACATTGTACGGAGCTGAGACATTCACATATGTATTAGACTTAGCAAACATGTACAGAATAGATGTTTTGGCGCTACAGGAATTGCGATGGACGGGAACAGGCACTCTTGACAATATAAACCAATTAATATATCATCCATAAAAGTTAACGACGGAGATTTGTTCAATTTTCTACACTTTGATCAAATAACTGTGGCGAGGATAGCAGTAGTGAAAAAAAATTGATATCTACCTTGCTGTTGAGAGCTACTAAATCTGAATAATCGGCTTGTTGTAATAGTTCTAACAAATCTTTTGAGTCGGTTGACGTAAATGAACTGTTTAAGGCTTTTCCAAATTCAAATGCCAATTCTCTGTCGTTTGATGGATACAAGACAGTGGATAATGATGAGCCACTTTGTTGAATAATGCCCCTGAATAATCCTGAAAATTAAAAAAACAAATAATAAAAAAATAATTATTTATCATAAGGAAGTCATGAAAATAAGAAAAATAAGAATAAAATTAGGCCATTAAAGCCTTGTGATGATAATAATTTTAAAATAAATATATTTTTTTATAGCTAATGTTAAAGTGTTGCTATAACAACTGTTTTGAGTAGATAAAGTATCACTTTAATTGCAACGGTAAATAAAGTGACACTTTAACAGCAAGAGTAGATAAAATGTTTTAACTTTTTTTATTCAATAAAATTTACAAATTCAAACACATTAAGGATAAACAACAACTGAAATTTTACAATTACCAATATTAGAATTATCTATTTTTGGAGCATCACAACTTGTACTCGTTTGCTTAAACACTTGATTCGAGGTACTGGATTGATTTTCTGTAACATTTGTTTGATATTTGTTGACAGACTAATTCATATCCCTAGCAACGGAGCAACACAATTGCGATTTTTGTGCTAAAAATTACAATTTTCTTTGAAATTATATTTTTCACCTGAACTTGTAGTCTTGCTATAGAAAAAAATGTATTGCATTATAATACTATAGACGTCAGTCGAGACACTAATTATGCTCGAGCATAATTAGTGTCTCGACTGACGTCTCAACGCTAAAAAATGCTCTCAAAGAGAAAGTACAATTTTATCGTCTTGTACAATAAAGAACTATGAAATATTTTCAAAAGGCTATGCGAGAACGACTGTTCCTATGGCTGATATCACTCACTGATTATTATCAGCAATTAATAGTGTTGTTATTTATTAGGTTGAATTGTATACAAGTAGAGTCCACTCCCCTCATATCTACATATAAAAAAATATACGACGAAATATGTGTCACGCTTTTCTAATTTTTTTATTTCCATTACATACCTTTAGCAGATCTACTGAGCAAATGGAATCCAGCAGACATACTTCCAGCACTTCCTCCACCTACTGTTATTTTGTCAGGATCGCCTCCAAATTGATGAATATGATCATGCGTCCATTTAAGGGCCAAAAGTTGGTCTTTTAGTCCTAAATTACCGGGAATATTTTCATCGAGTGTTGTTAGAAATCCTACAAGCCAACAAAGAATGTGAATATTTCTTCACTACAAAAAAATTTTAAAAGTTGAACTATATTTATAATATTTATTGAACAACGTATTGATCGTAATGGTGTAGGATTCATAGTCTCAAGGGATCTTATCAAACGTGTTAGCAAAGGGAATACTAGGAAAAAAGATATTTTACGTCAAATGAAATTAATAATCTTGAGTTGTTAAGGAATTAAAAATGTTGTATTTTATTACAACTAGTTATTTTGTATTTTTTTATGCCAGATATCTAAATTATTTATAATGATTCAATTGAACGAAAAACACAAAAACATAAATTTATATTAATACATGTTGTAGCGTGAGCAAACTATTTACTTAACCCGGCACTACATATGTGGGGTTTCACACACCCAAGCTCCCAAATATCGCTCTTAAAATAAATCAAACGCAGACTTATGCGCACGTCCACCCCAATAGCTTCCCAAAAATATCCCCCCCCATCGAATTCAGGCGTTACCTCAGTACATTGTAGGCAGTGAGTGAAGTTACACGCGCCTGAAACGCTCTGGGGTGTGTCAAACCCCACCTATGTACTCGCGTTTGCAATTTTAACATTATTTATTAACTTTTTATTTTTGACTTATTTGAATCTGCATATTCAATTGTTTAATTTTTAGCTAAAGTATCATGTCATACGAAGGGGAACAGAAAAAGCTTGAAGCTCTATGGGCTGAAATTGATGACGATGCCATCGAATCGGAAAGCGATGACGATATTGACCATATCTCTGAAAGCGACCACAACACCGACTCGGAGCAGGATATCGCAATAGAAGATGTAGTTTTGACGGAGATTCAGACATGGAGACATCAAAAACAGAACTTCAGAATGACACGGAAAATAAAAGCACTGACAGACCATAAAGAAACGAAAAAATGTATCTCGGAAAAGACGGAACACAATGGAACAAACTTGCTTCAAATAATAAATGGGTTCGAACAAGATCAGAGAACATTATTACTCATTTGCCGGGTGTGAAGCATTATGCAAAAAATTCTAAACGTGCTTTAGGCTGGCAATTGTTTTTTGACCGACAAATGATCGAAGACATAGTGCGCTGGACCAATGTCAAAATTCAACAAAAATCAATTGCATATTAAAATAAATGCATGGTGAAACCAACCAATGAATGTAAAATTAAAGCATTTATCAGACTTCTTTATTTAGCAGGTATGTTTCATTCTAATTGTCAGAATTTGAGAGACTTATGGCAAACAGATGGGACTGGTGTCGATATATTCCGCAATACGATGTCGATAAATTGTTTTCAATTCCTGATGGTCTGTCTTCGGTTCGATAACATCGAGAATCGTAAAGACAGATTGGCGATTGACAAATTAGCTCCAGTTCGTGGAATTCTGGACAACTTTATTGAAAATTGTAAGCAGGCCTACACTACTTCTCAATATGTGACGATAGATGAGAAGTTGGAGTTTTTTCGTGGAAGATGTGCTTTCAAATAGTACATGCCCAACAAGCCTGCAAAGTAGTGGATCAAAGTGCAAGCCCCAGTTGATGCCCGTTCGTACTACGTTTTAAATTTGGAAGTGTATGCAGAAAAACAGCTAGAAGGTCCCTACAGTGTTAGTAATTCCCCAATAGATATAGTAGAGGGGCTAATATAACCTATTTCTGGTTCCAACCGAAATGTGACCTTTGAAAACTGGTACACTAGTTATGAATTAATGATAAAATTGCTGAACAAGCATTAACTTACGTCAGTAGGCACGCTGAGAAAGAACAAACGATGCATCCCAGCACAATTTTTGACAGTCCAGAACAGAGAACAAATGACATCTTTATTTGGCTTTCAGAAAGATATTACACTTTTATCGTATGTGCCGAAAAAAAAAAAATAAAAACGTCCTACTGTTGTCCACCATGCACCATGGTGGAGCTATTGATGAAGCAACTGGCGATAAAAATTTACCAGAAATAATAAGCTTCTACAACTTTATTAAAAGTGAAGTAGATGTAGTGGATGAACTGTCTGCATCATATAACGTATCTAGAAACTCACGGAGATGGCCTCTTACGATCGTGTTTTCTCTCTTGAATACAGCCGCCATAAATGCTTTGGTGATATACAGAGAAAACAATCAAGATTTCAACCTTGCCAGAAGATTGTTTATCAAAATGTTGGGCTTTGAATTGATCCAGGACCACATATCTGAAAGAAAAAATAATCCAAGAATACCAAGGAGTATTCGTCAAAACATTGCACATTTTGGCCAAGATGCCCCAGCAGCGCCACCTCCCAAGATTCCAAAACTCATGGGAAGATGTTCAGTATGTCCAAGAAGCCGAGATCGGAAAACTAAATATTTCTGTTCAAACTGTGAATCATTACTGTGCCTGGAGCATGCTGTCATAAGTTGTCAAAGTTGCATGAATTCAAATAGCGATTAATTTTTTTCTTTCACTGTACAACCGGGAAGAGTTTTTCCTTGTATTATCTTACTATTAGATTTTCATTTACTATTGTATTTTTGATCATATGGTGTTTATATTTTTTGGTAAGATTGTTCAGTTAAGTTGTGGTTTTTGTTTATGGAGAATTGCCTATGATTAGTTTATTTTTAATTTATTCTGAATAAAGGTGTTCTGATTATTTCTTTGTTGCTTAAATAGTCCTTAGATGATCACTTCAGACCATGAAATTAGAAAACATATAAAAAAACTGCCAGAAAAATTCTGATTTTTTTAGAAATTGGGGTTTTTTACACCCCACATATGTACTAATGACAGAAAAATCCACGTATGTGACGCCGGGTTAAGTATACAAACAATCTAGTCCTTTCTGCTCGTTACTGAAGAGTTTGGGTGCGGTTCCTTTAACGATCATATAAAAGCTCTTTGTATTGTCATTAAAATTAAAATGAATTGGGCGCAATTCCTTAAAAGTTTATCCTCGTAAGGAAACAAGCTGAGACACAAAAATAAAATGAAAAATTTAATATAAAGTTAACCATCACTATTTTGTAAAGAACAAAATGTTATTAAAAGATTCTACGTTAAAAAGTTACCCCAAAAGTCATCCCAGAAAAGAAATAAACAGTCTGTGTTTACACATAAAAAGTGCTTATACGAAGATTGTTTGGGAAAGTATGTATAATTTTATTTCATATTTTTACATTTAATATTTTTCTGTTACGGTAATATAATGTGATCTAATTTAATGCTGCATTCTAACGACCTTTTTAAAACATATAATTTCCTGTTATTTCGTAAAACTTAAACTGGCTATCTCATTCATCATGTTGAAGTACGCAGAATTTGGCTTTTTTCTTTGTATTCTGTGTCACAAAGATTGAAACAAGTGTAAGGTTTCGTATTACCGTAACAATACTTTAAATAACTTTAAATTATCGCCATTCACAATCGTCCGACAATAGGGTTGATGTATCGCATGCCCTGGCCTACGAGCTGTTGAACACTCAACGGTTAGAGGGTAGTTTTTGCCCTAGTAGCGATCTCAAGATTCTCAAGACACCTACTTCAAAACCAGACAGCGATCGACACGGACCTAGTTTGGACGGTTCTCGTGCTTAGCCTCGGCGACGCTAGCGTCGGTACCGCGACCAACTCTTCATTCCTGTTAAGAATACATCAATACCTTGTCCATGTTCTTTGCACAAACAACGATAATGAGTAAATCCAGTTAATTTCATAACTTATTCACAACTGATAGTTGTTGTTTTCGCTAACTTTATGTACAAACAAATATTGTTAAATTAAACAGTGTTCAATTTTTTCACATGCGAAAAATCATGTTATTTTTTCGCTGTATTATTAACTATCCTTATATCACCATTTTACAATCATTATCCTAGTCCAACCCTTAATAACCCTTCCTACTTACAGTTCAACCCCCTTTCTTAAGAAATACAGACAGTTTCAAGATAGCAAAGAAGAAAGACAATCTCTTGATGGTCGCCCGTCGCTAAGGACAGACCATTCTTAACTCTCTTAGTTTGGTCATCACTACAGCCATAGGTTCTCTCTCTTGATCTCTCTTTCTCTTCGCTTATCAAGAAGAACAGCTGTTTTTGGCTAATTTCGTAATTACCTCTTTCCCGCGTTAGTTACGCGAGAAATATCAACAATACTGTATTAAATCGTGTGCAGACAAAGTGTGCTCTATATCGTGATATATTTGCGAAACACGTGTTCAGAAACCGGTGCATCGGACAGATTTCGCGGGTGAAGAATAACCATGAGTGAAGATCGGAAACAACCGCGAGAGTGTGGAGCAGAAAAAATATTGGTAAGACTTTCAATAAACTTAATTTGCTATTGTCTGTATACCTTTTACTACTTCTCCTAATTTTATTGAACCAGCCCTATATAATACAGTCCACATACATGGAAATTATATTAATAATTTCCCACATATGTACTCCATTTTTGTACAAACAGTTCATCCATATAAGAAAGACAAAAGTTTCGGTGTTAAATGGGTTAATAGAATGTACGAAACTGGCTCTATACTAACGGATTGACAGTTGTCGACTTTTGAGACGATAGCTAAAAAACGAATGTGAAAATATGGAGTGACTACGGAACCATCAGTTTGATGAGCCATATTTTAAAAATATTTCTTTAAATATTGCGCTCAATGATCCACAAATAAAAGAACAACTTAATGGCACCAAATTTAAATTTCACAATAACCTTGGAATTAAACAAGCAGTATTTAGTATTTAGCTTATAGTGCAGAGATGCAGAAATGTCGCCCATCCAGTTTATATGTATTTTATTGATGTTGTGAATGTCTCTGATAGAGAATTCATACTGAAACAATACTCTTCTTCAGCAGGTAGGTATTCATGATAAAGACTTACCACAGCCTGTGATTAGTATGGCGCCAATACAACCAGAAGTAGTAATAGTTTATGTAGAACAACTGGAGATAACCGACAGTAGCATTTATCTTGGTTGTAGTCTAAATGAAAACTTGGATATGAACAAAGAAATTAGAATATGTGTAGAAAAGGCCACTGCTACATTTTTTAAAGTGAAAAAATCTTATGTGATAACAATATTACTTGTATTGGAGTGTTTAATCACAAATTAATCCCTTAATTTAAAATCTCATATTATTCTTAACTTCTTAATCTTTTATAGTTTCACCGTGTATAAGTGAGATTGTAAAACCATATCGTATAATAATTTAATAATTAGCTCATTTACCTACAACTAAATAAATTGCCGAATAATATAGTTTCTAATTGAACTTCCTTAAATTGAAGTGTCGCAATAACGGCCTAGATTAAATTGTGATGCAAGCTAATAGTTTAAAGTTTGTTGGTATGGTATGATAGAAGCAATAACCTCTGTGCTGAGGTATGAATTATTTGTGAGATTATAAATTGGGGATTTGTGCTCATGTGAGCACAGTTTATTATAAGTAGTTACCTAACCAACATTATAGTGTGTAATTACTAGTAGCTGTCAATAAAATCAACATTTTTCTGCATAACCTCAACCTTTTATTATATTTATCATCGTCGATCGACAAGAGTCGGACGAAGGGGCATTACAGAACGATTCAAACCTTATAACTACGTTCTAATCTTTCCATATGGTCCTTCGAGCCGAATAACGTGGAACACAGAGGGCGCAGACGGTCATGTTTTTCAAGGCGAACCTCTCTTTTTGTTTGGATGCTTCGTTAGCTCGACTCGAGAGAGATAAGACGTAGTTTAGTTTTTGATACACAAATAATATATTGTTAACAAGTGTAATAGGTAATAGTGATTATTACAGTTACTTATTGCAACTCCGTAGTTTTATTTAACATAAGGACTACATTTGAGACTGAGAATTGGATTAATACATATCCAATTCTCAATCTCAATATACATGTCAATCACATATAAAACAATACTACTATATGTAATAACAACTTAAGAAACTATGTCATTAATTCATATCCGTATAGGTGAGTCACAGGTAAGATAAACTTACCAATCAAAGGGTAATTGGATTTTTTGAAATCTTTGAAAACCTATTACTAATTAGGTATTACAAATACTCGGAATATTCGGATAATCCGAATCAGAAAGTAAAATTTTACCACAGAGGCTATGTAAGTAGTAGTTAAAATTAAAACAAATGGCTTCCGAAAAAAATTAAATATAAATACTTACCAAATGACCCTAGTCGATAGTTTATTGTTACGATTATGATATCAAAATCAACCAAAGACTTTGGATTCGCAGATGATATTTGGCCACTTCCACGGACGAATGCTCCTCCAGGAATAAAAAAGAATACTGGTAATGATTCGCCGGAACTGGGTTTCTATAACACAAATAATTAACTAAAAAAATGCTTATAAGAAAATAGTATCAAACATATTTTATAAGACATGTTAACTATATCTAACCAGATCTTTTTTCTTAGCTAGTGGTCTTAAGAAAAATGTGTTATCTATGCAGGATCTCCCAGATTTAACCCATTCATGCCCGTTGGCAACTACAGTTGCCACGCCTATGAATGTCTCCCTCTCCCCTCTCCGACATTCTTATTCGCAGAGTGCAGTGAAATTAGATGGAAGGGGTTATCGGCTAACAAATTCCGCAAAGCGACAGTTTGTATCTATCATTCAATTAGTTAGTATCGATAGTGTGCATAGTGGTGTTGTACGTGTATAATTATGTTCATGGCCGCCGACAGTTCTATGTAAGTATACAAATATATAAATGTATTTTTTCAAACAAATGATTTATTGTCTTCAATAGAAAGCTTTTGTCGTCATTTTTAACAATAATTGTTATTCGTCAGTCATTTACTTTTTTCAATATACATATGTAAAAATGCATGGCAACTTGAGTTGCCACTGGGAATATGGATTATCATGTGATATTTTCAGGTATGTACGAAGAAGAGATGGCAAGGGGTTACTTTTTCACGAACTTCTTGAAGCTCTCAAAGAAGATAATGAAATGCCTGAGTATATATCGATTTGTCCACCTGAAGAACCTCCAGACGCAGACACAGACAAGGATTCCGATTTCTCGGATGAAGAAGTGGCTGGCGATACCAACCATCTTTTAGCTCGTATCCTGCGCTCTCAAGTAAGTGTGAAGTACAGTCATGAAATTGAAGCTGCTGATGATACCGAACATGTTTCCCAACCGAGTACCTCTCGGCAGATTCGTATTTCTCAACCATCTGCTTCCAAATGTCCTAAATCTGCCAAACGGCCACGTTTAAATCCAACTACATGGAAATCAAATATTTTTGAATTTACTTCAAAGGTTCCTGAACTAGATGTCGAATACCGTCCTAATGTAGAGGATCTTTTGAAAGAAACAATTAAGAGCCCGATTGACGCATTTAGGTGTTATTTTACACAAGATACAATAGAGCACATTGTTCGCGAAACAAATTCTTATGCAGGGCAAAAATTAGTACACAACCTTAACGCTACTTCGGCAGAAATTTTAACGTTTGTTGGGGTTATGCTCTTATCGGGATATCACCCACTGCCTTGCAGACGGCTTTACTAGACCGTAGACGATGACGTTCACACACCAATAGTCTCAAATGCAATGAGACGAAATCGTTTCGATGAACTTATGAGTTTTATTCATCTCGCCGACAATCAGTTCAATGACGGTACTGATCGAATGTATAAAATTCGCCCTTTGTTTAATATGCTAAATTCTGCATTCAAGCAAATTACTCCTGGTCCCACTGTAAGCATCGATGAGAGTATGATTCCTTATTACGGGAGACATGGAAGTAAACAATTTATAAGGGGCAAACCCATTAGATTTGGGTACAAACTGTGGGTAGCTGCCGATCCTTCGGGTTACATCCATCATGTTGAACCGTATTGTGGCTCTTCCACACGCCTTCCTCAAACTGGTCTAGGACAAGGTGGTGATGTTGTTCTAGGTTTAATTGATCACGTGCAATTGAAAAAAGGAAATAGACTTTATTTTGATAATCTTTTTACGTCGGTTGCATTGTTGCAAGAATTAAGTTTCAGAGAAATTGGAGGTACCGGAACATTACGTGAAAATCGATGTAATGCCGCAATGAAACTTCCAGAAAAAAGTGCGTGAAAAAAAAAACAGAGGTGACTTGGCTACTTCTTCGTCTGGTGATCTTTTGCTAGTTCTCTGGAATGATAATAACGTTGTCACAATGCTTACCAATTGTGACAAAGTCTATCCGATGAAAAAGGCTAATAGATATTCTCGTGCAGAAAAGAAAAAGATCACAATCGATATTCCAGGTCCTATTGAACGGTACAACAGCAACATGGGAGGCGTTGATATAATGGATCAATTCGTGGCTTCTTACCGGTGCCGAATTAGATAAAAAAATGGTGGTGGTCTTTTTTTTCATGGGCTGTAGATGTCGCATGTGTACAAGGTTGGCTTTTATATCGCCGACTTGGTTATGACATATCATTGTTAAACTTTAGGCGCCAATGCACAGTGTACCTTTTAAAATCATTTGGTACCCTTCCAAAAATACTTGGAGTCAAAACGTCATTGAATTTTTCACCTGTACTTCAAGAACTCAGAAAAGACCACACTGATCATATTATTCAGAAAGGTGCGTCCAAGTATCGTCGTTGTAAGATCTGTGGCAATCGTACATCCTATTTTTGTATTAAATGTGATATTGCCTTACACCCTGACAACTGTTTTAAAGTGTTTCACAGTTAAAATTGATGTTATAACAGCATTTAATAAATAAATACTATAAATACTAATGTTTTTTATTATTCTTATATTTAGACCGCTTTATCCCAGTGGCAACTAGAGTTGCCAGGCTGCCATTTTGGCACTTAGATACTGATATGATTTTTAATACCATTTTTACATTTAAAGTACCATAGAAGTTCCGTGACTAAAATATTACACAAAAAAATCACTAGGGAATTCTGGGCATGAATGGGTTAAAATCATTTTATTCTTCAGCTTTCTGGCTTCTTTCCTCGCAATTTTAGGATTCTCTAAGATTACGGAGCCAATATATTACCCTTCTTTCATCGCTACACTATCCTAAAATATTTCCCTCCATGATATTCTGCATAAGCTGATATTTTTTCGTCTCATCACGTGGCCAAGTTATTGCAGATTGCAGTTTTCACATTTTTATTTCATTATTTAGTTTTATTCCTTTTAAAAGTCGCAAGACGTCATTTATGACTATTTAAGTTTATATTATCAGGATTCTTCTGTAAAGGCACATCTCAAAACTTATACATTTTTCATCATCGCTTTAGTTAGAGTCTTGCATTTATTGAGTATATTTTTACTTACTTATAATATAATGTATTTAAGTTCTTTCATTCGATGTTTACATCCTGACCGTTTCTGTTATCCACTATAGCTGTCAGTAGTACTTTATATATTCATTTTTCAACGTTTAATTTTTTCCCTGTTTCTCAGTGCATAGAGATCGATGTTGTATCTAATTTTGGCTCTTGTAGGATTGTTTAAGATTTAACCTAAATTCAACAACTGAGTTGTGATCAGAAGCTACGTCAACACCTGGATACGTCTTTGCTTTGATACAATTTCTGTATCTTGTTTCTCTCATAATACATTCTATTTAGTTACTTTCGATTGTTTTCTCTGTATCCCGTGACGACTTCTAAGTATAAAATCTTCTCGATGAAAGCTTGTATAATATTTTTTGTTAATCATTTCTTTTTTTGGGACAAATTTGATTTTATTGCAGTTAAGTCCATGTACTTAGGAATTAACATCACCCATTATAATAAATATTTCATGTTTTTTAACATATGTTAATACTAGTTCAATACGACCGTAAAATTCTTTGTTCCTTTACTTTTTAATTAAATTTAGCTATAGGTATTATAATGAAATGTTTATCATTGTCCATCGTTTTATCACTTGTTTATCGTTGTATCACTGTCCAGGACCAGAAGGTTTATTATTTTTTATACGTTCCACAGTTACCGTTATTTCATATACTGTAATGGGTTAAAACTGATTTATTTTCCCTTCCAGTATTACTCCAGTCGTCAGAGACGAAAATGCCACTGACCCTCTTAAAATCATACGAACAAGCTGGGCTTGTTGTTTGTTGCAGTCTCGGGAGACTAAGACTTCGAAAGCCCTAAAGAAGACATGAAAGAGTACATTTCTACAACTGTACATTTTCATTCTGTTTATTTAACATAATTTCACAAAACTTCATCCGCCTAAAGTTATCTTCCGGAAACAATTCTTGTGTTGGTTGTATCTTAAAACAGTGATACCCATTCCTCTTGAGAACTGGCTGACAGTTCGAGCATTCACGTTAACTTCCATAGCAATTTGTACACTATTGCAGGGTTCACTAGTTTTCACACAAGGACAAATATCAATATCCCTGTTTCGACACTTTTCATCGACGGGTCAAACACGTGTTTCATTACCTTTATGGCACTTTTTACAACTGTTTACACATCCCGAAGTTTGAAAATGTTTTATGGTATTTTTGACTGTTGTAACATTTGGTGGGGGTAATAAATTAATAACTTCGCGTATCGAATGACCCTGAAAGTACCATGATACACGAGGCATTTTTGCCCATTTTGCCGCTTGGACGGTACACGTAAACGTAATAGGCATTTTCTTAATTATTTGTTTATTTTTTCAAAACTTCGTTTGAAATTTTTATTGTCAATGTGACAATTACGACAATTCGTGCCTACTGTGAAATGAATATAGAGGTGGAAACGTGTAACATGTCACAGCGATTGCTATTGTGTTGTATGGTCAATAAAAGAATGTCGTAATCTGTATATATATATATATATATATATATATATATATATAAGGGGGTTGAGGTTAATTGGGTATATAGCTGATTGAAAGCCAAGTGTACTCTGTTCAACAGTTCATCATATTTTGCCAATTTTGGCTATATCTTACTTTTGAGGTTAACGGCAATGTAATTTATTTTAATGACATCAAAGTGGTTTGTGGGTACAATGTGGATTGCAGCTATTTTGGACATGTATTATGAAGTTGTATAATTTACTTTCACAATTAAAATATTGAAAACAAACACGATTCAAAATAAAAACAAAACAAACACAAAAACGTTTAGTTAGGTGACTGTCATTAAGCCCACAAACCACTTTGTATATATATATATTATATACATTATATATATATATATATATATATATATATATATATATATATATATATATATATATAAGAAAAAAGAAGTACTTGTGACTCGTTTGGAAAAAATATAACACTGTTTTTGATGGGTTGGAGTCAATAAAAGGGGCTATTTGTTGACTATTTTTTACTCAAGCTTTCAATTGTGATTACAATTTTTATCACGAGCTTCTAAAAAATACAAAATGTCTTACAAAGTTGAACTAGAAATAAAAAATTTTTTTGTTAACTCACCAAATAAAATTAGTTTTTCATATAAAACTACTGCTTACATAATAAATACAAAAAATATTAATAAAAAAATGTCTTATTCTAATAAATGTTTCTCTGAAAAATTTAGATGAAGTTTCTTAAGAAAAAAATTGAAATTATAAACAAAAATAGAATAGCTACAACCAGCCTAAAATGTCATAAATACTAACTTAAAAATTTTTATTTTTGACATATTGTCAAAAATAAAATTTTGTTTAAAAAATTCTCTTTGTTTAGTAACAAAAAAGAAGAAGATTTATTCACCATTGATAGATGCCCGGAAAAATGTAACAAATACATGGAAAATTCAAAATGTGATATTTTACTGACTGCATAAATTAAATAGAAATTATATAATTATAAATTTTGCTTAAATTTTGAATTTCTGACCTTTTGTTTAAATTATTATCACTTTTGCTAATACAAACCATTTCCAAAAAAGTTCTTTTAAATTTATTACTTTCATTACATAAAATTTTAATATTATCAAAATCCATAATATGGTCTTTGTCTATTACATGCTCTGCCAAAGCACAAGATGGTTTCTTAATTCTACAATCACTCTTGTGAGAAATAATGCGATTAGAGAGATTTCTTCCAGTCTCACCAATATACTCAGCTTCACACTGAGTACAAACAATGCTGTATACTACATTTGTTTGATCTAATTTGTCTATTGGATATTTAGTTTTGGAATATAAAGATGAAATAGTTTTGATGTTCTTTGTTGCTATTTTTATATTGTCAATAACCTTTAATGTTTGTATTAATTTAGGAGTTAATGATGGTATAAAAGGTAGTGAATGATAATATATGTTTTGATTGTTGGATACAGTTTTGAGATTTAGCAAAAAATGATTAGATTAATTTATTAAATATAAATAACTTAACACCATTTTTTGCTAAATCTCAAAACACTGTATCCAACAATCAAAACATATATTATCATTCACTACCTTTTATACCATCATTAACTCCTAAATTAATACAAACATTAAAGGTTATTGACAATATAAAAATAGCAACAAAGAACATCAAAACTATTTCATCTTTATATTCCAAAACTAAATATCCAATAGACAAATTAGATCAAACAAATGTAGTATACAGCATTGTTTGTACTCAGTGTGAAGCTGAGTATATTGGTGAGACTGGAAGAAATCTCTCTAATCGCATTATTTCTCACAAGAGTGATTGTAGAATTAAGAAACCATCTTGTGCTTTGGCAGAGCATGTAATAGACAAAGACCATATTATGGATTTTGATAATATTAAAATTTTATGTAATGAAAGTAATAAATTTAAAAGAACTTTTTTGGAAATGGTTTGTATTAGCAAAAGTGATAATAATTTAAACAAAAGGTCAGAAATTCAAAATTTAAGCAAAATTTATAATTATATAATTTCTATTTAATTTATGCAGTCAGTTAAATTTCACATTTTGAATTTTCCATGTATTTGTTACATTTTTCCGGGCATCTATCAATGGTGAATAAATCTTCTTCTTTTTTGTTACTAAACAAAGAAGAATTTTTTAAACAAAATTTTATTTTTGACAATATGTCAAAAATAAAAATTTTTAAGTTAGTATTTATGACATTTTAGGCTGGTTGTAGCTATTCTATTTTTGTTTATAATTTCAATTTTTTTCTTAAGAAACTTCATCTAAATTTTTCAGAGAAACATTTATTAGAATAAGACATTTTTTTATTAATATTTTTTGTATTTATTATGTAAGCAGTAGTTTTATATGAAAAACTAATTTTATTTGGTGAGTTAACAAAAAAATTTTTTATTTCTAGTTCAACTTTGTAAGACATTTTGTATTTTTTAGAAGCTCTTGATAAAAATTGTAATCACAATTGAAAGCTCCAGTAAAAAATAGTCAAGAAATAGCCCCTTTTATTGACTCCAACCCATCAAAAACAGTGTTATATATATATATATATATTATATATATATATATTATATATATATATATAATATATATATATATATATATATATATATATATATATATATTAATTTATAGTATGATGTAAACTTACCACTGGTGTATATACATTTAAAACCAAGCAGTCTTCAACTGAATCTGGGCTGGATGACTGTGGACAAACTACTTTGTTTTCTGTTGCATTCAATATTCCTTCCCATGGAGTACGAGGTTTGGGGGGCTGAAAACCAAAATATATGTTTTTATTTATTATTTCATATCACAATAACTACTGAGCAATGAACCCATAGAATTTTGCGTTGCGTGTCATATTACTAGCTTTACCGTCCGAGATAAAAAACTTAAATCCTTTGGAGACCCTAAACTTATAACCGTAGACAGGTTATCTCATGACCAGCTTTTTTATTCCAAGGTGCTGTTTCTAATGCTGATTGACTGTTGTCTAATCGTATTCCACTTATTATATACTATTAAACTATAATTATTTTAAGCTTCTTCTTCTTCTTCTAGTTCCATGACCGTTATCGATCGTTGGATATCATGTTGGCTACCATATTCGCTATCGTGACTTTATTGACAGCAGCTCTAAATAACCATGTAGTTGGTTTTCCATACCATTACCTTAGATTTTTTAGCCATAATGTTCTTCTTCTACCAAGACCACGATTACTTTTTATCTTTCTCTGAATGATAAGATGTAAAAGATCATATTTTTCAGAGTATCTCATAATAAGACCGAAGTATTCCAGCTTGTGTTTCTTTATTGTATTGACCAGTTGTGTTGTTTTGTTATTTTAAGCAAATAACTTAACCTTAAGTGATAGTTATATTTATATCGGGTTATCGAGTGTCTCACGGTAAGTGACCTATTGAACTTATCTGCCAATATAAATGAATTTGGTATCTGAAAATTAAGCTGCATAGGTTTTTGATAGTAAACTTTTTAATGAAAGTATTTGTGAACATGTGCTATTTCCAGTTATATTGGAAACAGTTCCCAACTTCGTTATTTTATTTGCATTCGGATGTGTATTATTCTTTCAAATTATTAAACTTTAGCAGTTTGCAAGCATTTTGTGGTCTTTACCTGCCACGGGGTGTAGGTAGGTCAGTGATCAATTTGCAAATCTCTCCGAGTCTGTTTTAAAAGCCCTGGTTTTATTGCAGTGATGAATTTGTAGTATATATGAGAGCATTTGTGCTAATTGCTGATGAGTTTACGTGTACCCAAGATGTTTGACTAAAGGAGAGATGCAGCAACGTTCTTTTTTCAGATGGGAAAAATTTATGCGTATTGTACTAGCGCCTGTAGCGTATCCTACTGTGGCGTGGGACATGCTTAAAAGTCTTTGAGATGTGGGTATTCAGATGACTACTAAAAATAAGCTGGATATGCTTGGCAATAATGCAGTAATATAAATAAAAAATAACTGTATTTAATTTTAAAAATAATATTTAAATTTTAAAAATACAGAAAACATCGTATGAAACTTCGCGTAAGTCTACAGGATTCACTACTGTACCAATTTTTTTTAATTCTCCTTGTGACCCATTCTCATAAAAAAAGTAATTTAACTTATTATATTTCGCACATTTCAGGAAGTTAAATTACATTTAAATTGTATTATATGTAAATTTCTTGTGTCAAGTTTGTCAATATCGAAAATTCTTTCATATTTTAGTTATTACGACGTAATGTGAAATACTCAATTGTATAACATCTAAAACTAAAACTACTCTGATGTCTGATTTACATAACATGGTAATTTTTACATTGCTAATTAGCATATCATCCCAAAAGTTCCAGAACTTTAACATTAAGGCTGTTTTCGCAGTTATAGCATACTGCGATTTGAAGTGGGCGTATCACTGACTTTTCTACACTGCTATGTCAGACCCTACGTGACTTCATAATAATTTGGATGTTTATTCAGTGGCGCCGGCCCACGGGTTGTTTAAAATAAATGCATTATTCTCCATTCAAATTAGTTTTGTCGGAATACTTTTTTTTAGATTAATTATCGTAGATAATGTTTTAAAAAGAATTAATCACATTTTTAATTTATATGTCTTAGCTAAACATAGTATTAAATAAAAATTTGTGAAACGTGACTGTAAAAAACACCATGGTGTTTATTTATAATAAATTTAAATTTTGTTATATTAATATTAATATATAATTAATATTTTGTTAATATTTGTTAGAGAAAACATATTAGCGTAGTAAAAAATAAACAAAAAATATTTTTATTTATCTATAAAAAATTGGTACCTGCGAAACCATCATAATAGTAAATGTATTTATCTGGCAATGTAATGTTATTTATTCGAGGCGACGCACTGCGAGGAAAATGTTCTCTGAATGGAATATACATTATTTTAATATATTTATAGGTTGCAGTTACATAAGAAAAGTATCCAATTGATGAATAAAACACAAATCGTGGATAGTTATTTCATCATATCAGTGGCATTACAGCTCGTCATGAGCCAAAGGCTTCTTCAGAACAATCTTCCATTCGCCCCTGCCTCTGGCAACTTTCTCCATGCTTTAACTCCGATGGATTTTAGATCATCCTCTATGTTATCTTGATACTTAAGTTTTGGTCTTCCTCTGGATCGTTTTCCCACTGGTCCTCTTCGGTCGAAAATTTTTCTGATCGTTTCATCTTCATCTCGCCTAATTACATGTCCTATCCATCAAAGGCGTACTAATTTAATAAATTTTACAACGTCAGGTACTACACCTGAAGAAGCATCGTAGTTTACTTTATACGATCTTTTTGACCAAGCACCATCAGCTATAACGGTTATTAACCCATTTCCGTCGGAATCTACTTCACCAATTTCTTTGGCTAAAGCTAATTCCTCCCGTCCAGCCTCTTCTAAGGAATCACAAAGTGTTTGGCCGATGATATCTGCAACTGTTTCCGTATGTTTTGCATACTGCCTGTAGGAAATCACAGGTATATTTAATGCAGCGTGCTGCTGCTATATGTCTGAATAACCAGAACCATTCAAGTTCAGTGAATTGTTACCAGAATCCTATGTTGCTATCTCCTTTTCAATATTCCACATTTGACATTTAAAAGTCAATGTACTTATCAATCCGTCCATTTTTTCTTTGATTTGATAATCTCCATATTAGAAAAGTTGCATGAAAATGGAGAATGATTATTCAAACCTTGAATATATATATATATATATATATATATAGGTAAATATAGGTATATATAAGTTAAATAAAAGCTTTTAAAAACGGTTGTAATATAAATAATAAATACTAAAGCAGTGCAATTGCTCTCCTTTTCCTTGACATAGGACGTTTACTGGGACTCATTTTTTATCTTGTCTCTTATAACTTATATCACTAACCTAATGTAATACTTAAAAATAAGCGTAAACTAAAGAACTTTTAACTTATACCACTAAACTAATAATATATTACTTAACATACACGTAAACTAAATAATTTCAATGTTTTCAAAATAAATAAGAATACTGTAAACTGTAAAAACTAAGCAAGTTGATAAAGAAAATACAAGAATGAAAGAACTAAAATGGATTCTAATTCAAGCGAACTAACTGACCGTACCCATAGAGAAATAAAAATAAGACCGTACCGTACGCTCATGAGATTTGACGTCACTAATGCGATAACGATCAAGCTCAGCGACAATGATGAGGAATACGTTTCACTATTAGATTTCAGTATTTTTTAGCAATTTTCTTCAAAGTTTAAATACGCTTTTCTCGATTATTACTGGACACAGAAAGGTGAAAAAAGAATCAACGATTACAGAAAAAAAAAACTCTTTCAACTGATGGGCGTGAAAACTTTGGTTATAATAGAACGTTAAACAGTATAATCCAATTTTTCAACAGGAAATTCAAAAAAATAAAAAAAGTAAAACCATCAGTTTAAAGGCAACATAATTTCGTATAACATGTCCAAATTTCAAGATATTTCGTCGGTAAATAACAGAGAAAAAATTTTGGTGCACCGATAAAACAGCCTTAAATAAATTAAAAGGACAATAGCCAGTCTCTCCACAACCTTACATAGGTCAAATCAACGCAGAATTTAAAACAGAATTCATCCAGCCTTCATTTATCACGTACACTGCTGGACAAAGGCCTTCCTTAAATTTCTTCATATATATAGGATACCAAATATTTTACATTAAACTAAACACAACCAACGTTATGCAAATAAAGTCGTTATTAAAAAACTAAACGTTTCTTGGGAAACTAAATTATTAATTTTAAGGTACCAATATTGCAAACAAAGAACCAGTTAATACTTGGGACTTACGTCTGATTAAGACATAAAAAAATGACTTGCTCATAGAGTATATCATACAATTATTTCAAATGCACTTTCTTTTGTCAGAACGTATAAATTTTGGTTACAATATTTCATAAATCGCTTCTACATTTTTTCATCATTTATTAATAAGGAGTCTCTTTTAACTTCTCTAAATAAAAAACAGTTAACATTACAGCCACTTATAACCTATTTCATCTCTTTTTGAAGATTTGCTGAACTTTAATTCTATTACTGAAAACATTTTACCAATAAATACTTTAGCTGATATTTAATCATTAATAAGCAGTAACTTTAATTAAGAAAGATTATAAATATACTAATGAAAAGGGTCTCTTCCTACTGGTTAGACTGGTAAGTGCAAATATTGCTTCTGATGAGACATCATTGGTTTATATTTGCAAATCTTGACAGATTATACGATGTTATTGACGTTCTGATGAAAAATTTTATAATTATAAAAAACAGCTATTGTGCGCCCACTTATTCTGATTTCTATTGCTAGGTTTGTTAATCAGTACTAAGTATAATTATTACTTACTCTAAATCTGTTATTTCCTTCTGTAGATTCCCCATAGGGAACATCTTGAAAAGCATAGAAATCTTTTCCTTCGGTACTTTTAAGAATATGTCCACGGATTTTACCTAAATTATCCAATTCCACTATTAGGTCATCTTCCTCAAACTGTGATCCCGTTATAGGGGATGAAATTACCTAGAAAACAAGGTAAATGAGATATGATCTTTAAATAGAATAATTTTTTAAATATTATTTATACATTTTTTTACCAGCTGGGGTTTTACTCGTCCCATATATTGCGCCACTCAGGGAATGGGGGATATTAATAAATTGACCGGGCGACTGTTATCTACATTATAGGGCTCACAACCTTAACTCCGTTATCCTTCGGGATAACCTGAACCTTCCGTAATTTTTTATTCTCTCTTAATGATGGAAACGCAAACTCCTGGAATGCGTACCACAGGTGGTAATAACTCCACTCCTATTCATGGGACAAGATGACCTTTGCCCCTGGCGAGTGACTGCTCATTCTCCGAAGCAAAATACACGCAGAGGAAAGGAAAAATTGGACAGAAATGGTCAAAAGAATTAAGTGACGCCGCTATATCGTTATCGTCCGTCCATAATAGAGATGCATGGACATGAATCAGGATATGTACTTTTGTTTTGTAGATTTTGAAAAGGCATTTGATAAAGTTCAACATAAAAAGCTTGTAGATATATTAAAAGGCAAAAATATTGACAGTCGTGATCTGAAAATTATATCTAATTTATATTGGAATCAAACTGCCAAGGTAAGAGTTGACAGCCAGTACACCGAAAATATCAAAATACAGAGAGGAGTTTGCCAGGGTTGCGTGCTGTCCCCACTACTTTTCAATGTCTACAGTGAAGCTGTATTTCAAGAAGCGCTTTCACACTCAATAGAAGGTATATCTATCAATGGAGAAGTCTTGAATAACTTACGTTTTGCAGACGATACAGTAATAATTACGGATAACAACAATGATTTACAGAACCTAATGCAACGCCTTAATGTACGGACTGAAGATAAATTTAAAGAAAACTAAATGCATGATCATGACTAAATCTGCACAGGCAAATATCCAATTGACTATTAAAGATACTGCAATTGAGAATGTTAATAACTATAAATACTTAGGAATATGGATAACATCAGATGTAGACCAAACCAAAGAAATTAAGACACGTATTGAAATAGCACGTACATCATTTATTAAACTTAAAAAGTTTCTTTGTTGTCGGGATATAAGGTTAGAACTACGCCTGAGAATGTTACGTGTTCTCTACTCTTCTTTATGGTCTGGAAGCTTGAACACTAAAACAAGTTCATCTGAATAATTGGCCGCCTTTGAATTTTGGTGTTACAGAAGAATCCTACAAATATCATGGGTTCAAAGAATGTCAAACATGGAAGTAACTAGAAGGATAGGAAATGAGGCGGAAATAATATTAACTATTAAAAGACGAAAACTTGAGTACTTGGGACATGTGATGAGAGGGCAAAAATACGCATTATTACAACTTATTATGCAGGGCAAAATCCGAGGAAAGCGAAATGTGGGAAGACGAAGAATATCCGGCTTAAGAACTTACGGGAATGGTTTGAATGCAGTAGTGCAGAACTTTTTAGAGCGGCAGTCAATAGAGTCCGCATAGCCATGATGATTTCCAACCTTCGATAGAAGATGGAACTTAAAGAGGAAGAAGAAGCTATATCGTTACTTAGAAGGAGAAAGAAACATGTCCAGTACTGAACTATGTGAGGTGCTAGAAAATAGTGATAAAGATTATGTAAAATGAAGTAAATAAGGCAACTTATTTTAAAATAAATATTGTTATATTTAAATTTGTATTTACAAGTAATTTCTTTAGGTGCTTATAATTTTTATTATAAAAACAAAACAAAACTTACCCGTTTATTTGCAAAGTACAGCAAATAACAAAAAATTACTAATCTTAAATGCATGATTCTTTTTAATTTGGAAAACTCGCCATGTGCTTGTTTCTTTTATATGAAATTTTAATTGATGTCTAATCATAACCCTCTTCAAATGAAGGTAATCAGCAATCTTTATTAAAATAATCAATAAATCACTTAATTGATTTAATGATTTAAAATCAAAATGTATTTAAAAATTACTCCATGTATGATTGAACACTTGATAAATATGTATATGTTGCTGTGCAAGGGAATTCCCAATTCCCGAGGATGTTCACGAAATCTAGGGAATGTCGAGATACACTAGTGAATGTCAATATACACTAAGTTGCTTGAAGTATGTTAGAATAATTGGTTAAATATCATATTTTCTTACATTCACCGGTGAATGTCGGCATTATTCATACATTTTTGGTTTACGTTAAAAACATATATTTTTTATCAGGGAAAAATCAAAAATTTGTAAAGTATGTTTTTTATTTGGGAAAGTAAATTTATTTCGACTTGGACCAAATGTACTTTTACAAGTGTACTTCTGCCAAGTAAGTTGCCACGGTTAAATGACCTGTATCTTAAATAACTATTATAAAGATAGTGGAAGTGATGATGGAAGGTGTTCTAGTGGTTGCTGATATGTTGATATACGAGCTTGAAATTCCATTATCCTTCCTTGGCTTCTTTTAACTTAAAAAATCTAACACTCTCTCTATAAAACCATTCTTTACGTGTTTACTTCCCGTTTTCGATTTTTCGACACCGACGCCATTTTAATGTTACAATATCACACTAATTGGATCCAAGGAAGTTGGCCAGCGTCCTACTTATTTGGATAGAACCAGTTGATCAAGTGTGCTTTATTTAATCTTTATCTTAGATCTTTATTTAATACTATAAAGGCTTATTAGGTATAATATATTGTCCAAATGACCATCTTTCTCGGACAGTGGCCAATATTTCATCAAAAGTCACGAACATAGATGGAGTATAATTGTTTTCACAATTCTTGATAAATAATTCAAAAAATTCTCTAATCGACGCCAGCTTATCAAACTGTCATCTTTTAGCCCTTTTGTGTATATTGTTAAATCATAAGCAAGTTCGAAATAATTTGAATCTGTGAAGAGTTATAGTTAAATGAAAAATATCTACATCTGTTCCATCAGATGCCCAAAGATCTTCCAAGTTTAACCCATTTGCCTTGCCAAGTCCTGCTAAGTATAGCAGTTTTAGTGGATTTTGAATATTTTTCTTTTTATTGACAAAATAAATATTTGTGTACTTAATACGTAATATTCAACATTTCAATGGATATAAAGCACTCCCAAATAGCACATAATCAAGTCAATCATGGAAACATTCTGTAGGTCCTGGTTTTTAATGTATAATATTATTTACACGTGTACTATACGTACCCGAGAATCTGCTGATTTCTTTCACTTGATTCTTTTGTCATTCCCCACAAACTCTTCACCTGGAGTTTCGTTCTTTACCTCTTCTGTGGACTTTCTCCCACTGGGAAAATTTTCTGCACTGATCACTTTTCTTTGAGTTTTGCTGCTGTTCCCATTTTTTGCTTCTTTAAGTAATAAAGTTATTATTTGACACTTTTCCCTTTGCTGTTTGATTACTATTCCCCCTTTTACAGAATGAACATTAAGTGTTTGACTTGACTAAACTTCCTTTAACTGTACTTTTGAAATTTCATATGCTTTACACATGTCTATTGCCCTTTGTAAGGTTAACTCATGTTTCTGCAAGATTTTTTCTTGTAGATCTTTATTGATTGTTTCTAAAGCTAATCTATCCCTTATCATTAAGTCTAAAATATCTCCAAATTTACAATTTTTTGCCAATTTACGCAAGTCTGTTAGGTAAGTATTAAATAGCTCTCCTTTCTCTTGTTTTCTATTGTAGCATAAAAATCTTTCGTAGATTACATTCTTGTTAAGGTTGAAGTAATTCTATAATTCACCCAATATTATTTCATACGATTTTCTCTGTGCATCCGTTAACTTTAAGGTGTTAAACACATCAAGATCTTTATCTCCCAAAAAATTTAACAGTAAAGCAATAATTTTTACTGTGACTTCCTTTTCGACCTTGCCACTAGCCAAGAGGTAAATTTAAAATGACTGTTTGAATCGCTGAAAGTTTTCAGCTACGTTACCTTCTAATGATAATGGTATAAGGTATTCTAAAGTCTAAGGTATTCTAAACTCCAAATTGTTCTAATTCTAACTATTTGTTTTCTTTTAGGTATGGAAGCAGTAGGCTTCATTGTCCACGAGACCACATAATTATTACTTTTAATAACAGAATGAAAATAATCTATTCTAAAGTGCTTAATCTCTTTTTCTGCTATGAAACCTCGTGCCGCTGGTCTCATGTCATAATCCTGTCAGGACTTTACATTACTGAGCTAGTAAGTCTTATGACAGACCGTATACTTTGATTTTAAGTACTTGTTTTTCAATACAGTTTTTTGTAACCTTATAGCAAGACACAAAACGATATCTAAACATTGTTAGGAAACTGAAAATAACACCAATTAATACAAAAAAATCCTTTTTTTATTGTTTTTTTATTATAAAAGGCAATACTGTTTTATACAAGGCTTAATAAGTTATATAGGGTGGACGGATGTACAGATCTAACAGATTTTTAATACTGTAATAGTTTTTGGGATTTTCCTTCACTGTGAACTGCGAATCTATCTCTAAATACTTCACAGCTTGGGGTTTTACTTCTGACCAAATAACGTTTTGAAGATCTTCATCGACATCGGGAGTAGGGTTTCTAAAATGTAGAAAAACATGTTATACTAATACTTTGTATAAAAAATGTATCAAACACAATAGTAACTAAATTGCCTGGTTACGTGTTTTATGGAAAGTAATTGCCTAATTATAAAATTTGAAAACTTAAAAATAGTGATCAATGGTGAAACTATACAACCCTGTCTCATTCCTTTTATATTAAGCATTTCTTCCTATATTTATACAAGTGTCTAAAGTATTTATTGAAGGTCTATTCATATTCAATAAAAAAAAGCATTAAGATCATCTATTATAGTCCATTTCCATCATATTGATAGCACATTATGTATGCAAATCCCTAAACTGTTGATACGGGTGACGCAATGAAAAATAGATATTTTTCAACAAGTTTACAAAAGTATAAAGGAAAACAATTTTAAATTTAGTATGACCACCAGGTACAAAGGTTGAAG